TGGCTGACTTGTGACGATTACTGGTTGATTGTGGCTGTTATGGCTGTTAATGGTTCTTCCATGTGCTAATAAGGCCATTGGTTGTTAAATGAATGAATTGATAAATTTCCAAAGTCTCAACAGATTTTGATCCACCATGTAACACCATCTGGAAAATGTCTGAATGGTAACAACCTAATTTTTCAATATGGCAGTGATCCCAAACAAAAGGCAGCCGATATTCAAAAGAAGAACTTTAAGGAGTCTGGATAACTGTTCTTGAAGAGTACTTAAAGGAATGAGGAGGAAGGTTGTCATACCAAATATTGACTTTCAAACTTGTTAGAATTGTACAGACTTTATCTTTCCCCAAGACACTGTATTTGCATTTTTGAATGAAATGCTGTACCTATTTCCAGTTTTTCCAGCAGAATACAAAGAAATGAGGAGGGACTTGAGACGTTTGCACAGTACTGTGTTAAAATTAATTGATCATCGTCATGAATAGGTGCACATTTAAAGAAGTTACTTCTCCAGACAAAGGGACAGGAAAGTAAACAGTGGCTGTAAATAGGCAGAGATTATATTAAATGAGAAATATGCATCTACAAAGAGAATCAGTATTTGAAAACTGATGCCAAAAAGGCTACTTAGGGCACACAAATTCCCAAATCATGAAGTTCTTCATTAAAAAATGACAACATCTGAAATCGAATCATAATCAAATTCAACCTGCAGCTTCACATAACTGGACTCGTGGTTCAGCAGCTTAGAGCCGCTCCTGCTGGTTGACTTGGGTTGCTGGGCAACTATTCTGTCAGCATGACTTGAAGGTGTGAAGACAAGCGTCGACACTTCACACCCTGCATCTGCATCTCTGGTCATTAAAAGCACATGACGGAGCCTTTCAAAGACAGTCTGATTGCTCTCAGAAAAGGCGTTTTCATCCACTTTGGTGAGCTTGTGGTGAAAAGAAGAGAAGAGGAAGAAAAACTATGCGATCATTGTTCTCTATGATAGAAAGATCTTTTATGTTTACCATGTATTTACTGTTAAACACTCCCATATTAATTTAACAGAAGTCTTCCGCTTATCACTACAATCCAAGCAGTGCTGCGTATTTAAGTTGAGGTACATACACACCTGTGGACTCTCTTAAATCTGACTATGAGTAGTTATTCACCTTCAAATAACCCGACCCTTTAGAAGAGCTTATCTTGGTGTAGTTCCAGATTAACTGTGATTCAGTGAAGGCAGATGAAGTTATGTCAGGTTGAGGTGCAGATCTGAGCTACAGCCAAGCGTGGTTTGTAATCTGGAAACACTAAGAGTATAAAAGATGGATGTAGCCACCTCGATGTCACCCACTGCTTATTTATGTCTCTTTTTTAAAAGCATTTCCTTTGTTGCTGTCTCTGTGTTTTGGCTGATCTCAGTGTGAAACAACCTGCTGTTAGCAAATGAGCATTATAATTGAATGTTTTAGTGAACAAATCTCATCAGTAAGCAGCATGAATATTTGTAGATTTCACTTGGATTTCTCACTCTTTGAAAAAAACGTTGGAAAAAAACGTATAATAGATGGATAGGCTTGTCCATTTTTTATGTGTGGAAGTAGAAAGTTGGCACTCAAGAACCAAACCCTAACCCTTGTTAAGGAAGAGAAATAGGGAGTATTTGAAACCCAACCAATTTATTTCTTAATTGTGATTTAACATAACATGATCTTCCATCCATCCATTATGGACCTGCAACCTATCCAGGTGCCACGTGCACTTATGGACATCCTTATGTTTGAACATGGTGTTCATTATGGACAAACTGTTATTTGTACAGAAGTAAAAAACTTCACAACATTCAGGTTCAGATGAGGCAAGCCATTTCCCGTTCTGTCATCGCCTACGCGGTCATTGAAGTCTCCCAGTAGGACAATGGAGTCGCCAGATGGAGCATCCCTGAGCACCTGGGCCCCATGGATTAAGGCCTGACCACCAGGCGCTTTCCATCAAGTTCTTGGCTCCAGGCCTATCTCGGGCAGGGTACACAGGTCCC